ACACCAAACAGGGCACGCTTTTTTCAACGTATATCAATATTATTTCTGAGGTAAACAAGTTATATCATTTAATATATATATGATCAATTCGCAAAACATCAATGTTTTTTATATAGAACCCTCGCTGAGGGTAGAGAAATTCTTTGAGGGAACGGAAGGACATTTTCCCATCCCAATTGTAATCATGAGGGTAATTTTATTATAAAGATTTTTTTCCCTTCCTCTACTTTTTCTTTTCTTATTTCCAGAACATTTCTAAATCGCGGCGTGGGAAAAGGATTTTAAAACTTACATGACTAGTATTTTAATTTTCTAAGTTCAAACTTGTTTTCATGATTCGGAATATTTTAGAAGTAAAGAAAAGAAAATAAAAGAAGGAAAAGAACCGCCTCTCTTGCAAAATTACAACAACATATATATATATTATTATAGATGCTATGAGAGATGTTTTAAAAAAAAGCATAAGATATATATGTCAATGTATTTCATAACAATTGAAAATTTGAATATGATCAGTTCTAAGAGTGCCTTTTTATTATGAATGGTAGAGGTTTTTGAAACAACTCCTTATAATTTTTTTCGTTATTAGGAAAAAGTATTATCTATGTTGCATTTAGTTGATACATTTAATAAAGAAAATTCAACCTTCTCATGCTCCGATAACTTCACTCTCAGGTCTCAAATTTATAAGTATATTACATCATTACATTTTAAAAAACTATATTTTAGAAACATTGGTGTATTTTTGAGCAAATTGAAACTCTAAGATGTAAAAATTGTAAAAGATGAAATCTTAGGGTATTTGAATGCAATTATCCTTTTTAATAAAAATTTTGGAATAAATAGGTTTAAGATCTATTGTCATTTTTGCAACCTGGTGATTCTTCATTGACTGACAATTGATTTTAAAGAGGATTAACAAACAAACTTTTTGGAAGGAAATAAAAAACATGGAGTCGTGACACACGTGTTTCTTCACTGAAACATGACTGATCTTTTTTGGAGGATAATGACAAATTTTTAATTAAAAGAAGAAATGGGAAGTGCAACCACGTGTTTAAATTAAAACAGTGAAACAAGCCCAATTTGTGAATTTACTTGGTATGTAAGAATTACTATCTGAAAATGGTATTGATCTTTATTATCCATAATAAACTTTTTGAGGTAATTCCTTAACAACACTTCGATAGTATCTCACCTCTTTTATAACCTGACTATTCGTGATTCGTGAACACCGTAAAAAGCACGACATGTCTTTTTTTTTTTACTACAGTAATCCTGATTTTTAAACACTATACTATTTTTTAAAAAATTTGGGTTGCTACAGCTCGCCGTTGCTACATATTTTTTAAAATGCTACAGTATTCTCGTGTGCTACAATGTTTTTTAAAAATTGTTATAGTTTTTAATTTTCTATTTACTACAGTAAAAATAGTACAGTAAATACCATTATAATATTTACTGTGGTATGAATAGTGAACCTTTAGCTCAGCCGGAGTAGATGCTTTACACACTTTAATCCTTATCCATTAACATGGCCACTATCTTCACCAATACATGTACACCCTCATCAACTCTTCTCTCACTGACGACAAACAAACCCGCGGGCCCCTCGAAAACGCTGAATCAGACTAGAGTCCAATCTCTTTATATACTTCATCTCAAAAAACGAAAACAGAAAATAAAAATAAAAATTAGAAGAATAGAAACGTACTGAATCTCATTTCTCGATTTCTTATCGTACATTAGAAGATTCTCCCAAAAAAGAAAAAGGAAAAAAAATCCTTAAAAAAATCCTTCATCTTCTTCCTCCTCCTCTAAAGTTTGCCCTAAAATTTCTAGGGTTTCGGCGATGGCGAGCGCTCGAGTGGTCGGAGATTACATGTTTGGGCGTCAGATCGGGTCGGGTTCGTTCTCGGTGGTGTGGCTGCTCGCGAGGCACCGGATCTTAGGGTTCGAAGTCGCGGTGAAGGAGATCGTGATGGAGAAATTGGGCAGGAAGCTGCAGGAGAGCTTGCTGTCGGAGATCGTGATCTTGAAGAAGATCAAGCATCCCAATATTATAGCTCTCCATGACATAATTGAGGTCGATTTTGTTCTTTCTTCTTTCAATTTGGTTTTATTTTTGGTTGATCTAGTAGGTTAGCGTAGTTTGGAACTGAGTGCGTTGTTGAATTTTGTGGAAAAGGTGGAATTTTGAATACCTGGACTGCTACTGTCTCTGTAGAGGTTAGAATGCAGTTTTTTGCAGAAAATTTCAGCTGATGAGCAAAGAGGAAGATTATGGGAACTGTGAAGAGTGACAACCAAGTTACCAAAAGTTGGATTTTTAACACTTGAAGCTCATTAACAGTTGGCATTTGGAAGAATTTATTAGGAAAGTTTCTGTTTAAGGATGTACTTTAGGATGAAGCAGGGGAGATAATAGTATATGGTGTATGTCTTAATTTCTCAGCCTGACAATGATATGAGTCTATATAGCCCGTTCATATGATTCGCTTTTATCAAATCGCCTAGCCATGAAACACTCTCACTGGTCAGTAGGAATGGGTATATGTGTGATCCACCTTCTGGCAATATGAGTGCACCGAGGCCGACAGTGCTTGTTGAATAATGCTACGCGACGGGGGATACAAAGGATCTAACTGAAACACTTGAAAGAAAAGAGAAGAGTGTCCGGTATAACTAGATTTGTTGGATTGCCTAGTAGGTAACGACAATTCCACATACATGCATGGATAGGTGGACTTCAGCTTTCATCGAAAGCGACAGAAATTGGTGCGGTTAGAAGTACGTGCTTTTAATACCGTTGTGGTTGTGACAGCTATTTTTCCACATTATGGTAGTGCACCTACTGTATGGATACTTTTACTGATCCAGGGTTTCTCCTAGATTGTTAGACCACATTTAACCCATGACCTACCAAGATAATTTCCGCAGAAGTTAGACGTTCTTACGAAACGACTACAATTCTTATATGAACAAACGAAGGGATTCTTTTCAACTTAATTCTCAATGGACAAATTTCTTTTTGGATGTGGCCGTGAACCATTGACTACCATTGTGAACCATTGTCATATATATGGAAGAATGGGACAAATAGGTTTGTTTTAATACAGAAGGAGATCCACAGTTATGTGTGCTTTCATATCCATAGACTACCATACAGAGTGAATAATAAGCTTCTGAATCACTATCATGAGTCTGAGAAACGTGTATAGCCACTACATATGAACTTTTCTATCGTTATCCAATGGTTCTAAAGTTCCAATAGGGACAGGTACTGGGGTGAAAATAGTAAAGCAAGCTAACAAAATTGTACGAGTTAAATTTTGTGGTAACGTGTCCATGCAAGAGAGGATTATAGGGGAATCCTAGTAAGTAGCAATGGCTTTGCCTTGAAGATCGATGCAGTATCTTGATCAATGCAAACAATGCTTTCATTAATAACTGTTCTTGTTAGGTTTTTCTTACCATTGCTTTATTCATATATTTGTCATGTCTTGATGTAGGCACCTGGGCGAATATATCTTGTATTAGAGTACTGCAGAGGTGGTGACCTGTCAATGTACATTCAAAGACATGGAAGTGTTCCTGAGGCAACAGCAAAGCATTTTATGCAACAATTAGGTACAAGTAGATTATTCTTTTGAAACATCTAAAAGAAATCTTCTATTGGCATGCTTTTTAAATCTGAATTTTCAAGGAGAATGTGCTTTTTGTTTATCGTTGTAAATTTATCATTTTGTTACAGCTGCTGGTTTGCAGGTTCTCCGGGAAAATAATCTGATTCATCGGGACCTCAAGCCACAGGTTTGTTTCAGCAGTTTTATAGTTAGGATTTTTGACAGAAATAGTTAGCCTATCTATCTAATCTCTTTAGGCGCTTCCTTTGCTTCTTGAGCTTGTAAGTAAACATTGTAGTATTTTTTGACCCCCCATATATGCATCTTTTTGGACCCTGTATACTCTTCATCACCCTCTTTTGTTTATTTTTTTTTTTCATTTTTGGTAATAGCTTTTAGGATTCCTTTTCTACATCTTACCATTCTGCTTCGTATTGATCTCGACGAGAATCAAAGGTAAAAAAATGAAGAGAGAAACGTGAGACTGGTAAAGACAGCTAAATCGGAAATGTAAAACATGACTAAAGAACAATAATTATATGCATAATGTTTTTATCATAATTGTCAATGATGGAAAATTGGCTTCCTGTTGTGACTGCTATTAGAATCAGCAGATATAACGACCTATGAGAAGCATGTAGGTAATGATGGATTGCTCCAATAATTTCCATGACCTTCAAAGTCAAAACCCGGGCCTAATTAATATTTTTCTAGGTTAGCAGTAGCAGCTTAAATCTTATTTCCCGATGCCTCTTTACTTTCTATTATTTTGATTCTATGGCCATCTCACACTCACATACCTTCAAGATTCTCTAATCCATAGTGGATGGGTTTAATTTTATAAACTTAGAATCAGATTTTGTTGACATTGACTTTGAGATGAAAGACTTATTCAGAACCTTACTATTATGTCTCCAGAATCTTCTTCTCTCAACCTATGATGAGAATTCTGTTCTGAAGATTGCAGACTTTGGCTTTGCAAGGTAAGTTTCAGACTCACGTTTTCTTATCCATTTGTTTGCCATAGATCTTTTGAATAGTTCACTTTTGAAGTTATTCATTTTCTGAATAGTTCACTTTTTTCCTCGTGTTAAATAATGATGCATCCATGCATGGTTACATAAGTTAGTTTATCAGTTAGAATGTGCAAATATTTATTGCTTGCAAAAGAGTTTATATCCTCAGCTCATGATCAATCCACCAACTGGTACACTTTTTGAAACTCTGAGCAAGGGAAAAATATGTTTGTGTGTTTCTTTTTGCCTAAATTAGCGTATGGATCTTTTGAAGAAATTCCATTTTGAAATTTTTTTAAGTATTTACACTTTGATTCTTCAACTGGCAGGTCTCTTCAACCACGTGGTCTAGCTGAAACACTATGTGGTTCCCCATTATACATGGCTCCTGAAATAATGCAACTTCAGAAATATGATGCAAAGGTGATCATGATTTAGCACATAAGAAGTTATTATCAGGATAATTCTTTTTTTTTTGTGACTTACACTGAAATAACAGGCAGATCTCTGGAGTGTTGGTGCCATTTTATATCAACTAGTGACAGGAAGAACACCGTTTAGTGGAATGAACCAAATTCAGGTTTGATTGTTTGCTTCAACAATTTTTTACCATACAAACTCTGTTGTGTTTTGCCTAATTTTGCCTAATGACTGTATCTGTTTCTTCAAACAGTTGCTGCAAAATATAATAAAGTCAAATGAGCTACGTTTTCCTCCTGATAATAATCTAAGTTTTGATTGCATTGATTTGTGCCAGAAGTTACTTCGGCGCAATCCAGGTATGTGTTTCTCAGCTGTTTTTGAAATAAGGACGTTATTATTTCTGTTTGGTGCAATTATTTTGTTTTTATCGCGTGAATCATTTCCATAACTTGCTAACTATCTGCACACTAGCGTCTATAATTTAAGTATTAGCATCTAATTTTTCTTTAACCCTGTAACATCTAATTTTATTGCATGCTTTTAGTGGAACGATTAACATTCGAGGAGTTCTTCAACCACCAATTTCTTTCACAACAACCACCAGAGGAATCATTAAGGTGAGGGCCCTATATTGGATAGTAACTGATTTCAGACTACGGCCTTGTTGCCATACCTATTAAGTATACAATGATATGCTCTTATTTGCACATCTAGCCGAACATCATCAGACATGAGAGATGTGTTTCCATCAGTTGAAAGCAGTCCTGCAAGGCCTTCAGTGGAGAGTTCACAGGAAGACTGCCTCCCATTCATTTTGGATGATGAATCCATTGGACAAGATGGAAACCAATCTGTGCTGAAGACCAGGGGTTCTGTAAGGCCCACTTATGGATTCTCTGTTGACAGCAAAGTGGATAAAAGCCCTGTTAGCAGCCAGTCAAACAATGTAGGTGTTGCTTCCAGATTTAGCAGCTCCCTCAAGAAAATGGAAAATACCAATTTTGGACAAGACACTCATATATCACAGGATAGAAATGTGAAAGAGACCACTGCATCTAGGAAAGGTGCCATTATCTTACTGTTTTGATACATGTTTCTACTTTTTTGGATAGTGATTGCACTGATCTGTTTCTTTATTTTCATATGCATAGATTTTTCAATTGTAGATTCTTTGGAGTTTGTTGATCAGGAGTATGTACTTGTTCCTGGACCACCGTTGGAGATGTCATCTTCTTCAGTTAGTGCCTTGCCACCACGTAATTCACCAGGCAAATTAGATGGTTCACCAATTGTACCCCGAAAAATGAGTTCTTTAAGTGCACCAGTGCCAATAAGTGGTGCAGCAATTAGCGATAGGCTTGCTATTGGAAGCCTAGATAATCGGAGTTCTCCAGCATCTGGGACCTCACAAGGATCCATGGATACTGGCGATACTATTGAACAACCATCAGCCCACTGCATGACAAGGATCAGATCATTGCAGCAGTCTGCTTTTGTCATAACTGAGCTGATGAGGGAAGAGGTAAACCTGTTAATGGAATGAATAACAGATTTATACCCTCAAAATCTTCAATTGTTATCTTCAGTTAGACGCTTTCCTGTGTAGTTAATATTAGACTTGAAAATTGGTATTTTTAGTCGTCTATAAATATTTTCTTGTTATGAGATATTGCATGTTACTGGAAATTTACAGTACATGATTCGTTATTACTTTCTGCAGCTAAGTTTGTTGCTCTGTAAAATGTTTAAAGGTAGCAAATGGGAGGAGATTGGAGGCATTTTCAATTCAGCTAGTAATTCTTGCAATATGGAAGCAAGCATTGCACATTTGCCATGCTCATGCTGCATCGGCCATAGAAGGCAGTCCATCTCACAAAGCCATCCCTAGTAGCAGAGGATCTTACAGCAGCAGTGATTCACCACTACCAGATGCTCTTTGCTCACAAATCGAAAAAGATTTTCTTGTTGAGGTTGAGCATGCTGAAGAACTCGCTAGAGATATGGGACAAGTTGAAGGTAGGGATCAAATCATCTAGAGAATTCCATGTCTTAAGTCTGAACCATCAATAATCACAGTAATTGTTAAACAAGTTATTCACTTGTTACATGCAGAAACTATGGAGATGCCTGACGCAATTGAGATAATATTCCAATCTGCACTCACATTAGGTCGACATGGTGCTGTAAGTAATACAACTCTGGTTACCTCTCATTCCAGGAACATTTTTTGTTAGGCTTAAGTGCAAATACACCCTAAACTATTTGATTAGCACTTACGCCACAGTATTTACCAGGTAGGTTCAGATGTCACTAGGATTCACGTGACAATAAATTGCTTTCTGCATTCAGATCAACTTAAAAATGACTAGATTGCACTCTAGATCGAGGGCAACGTTGTTTTAGTTTGAGAGTGTTAAGACTGTTGGTGCTTGTAAAATAGTTTTATGTTCATTGTGGACGGACGCTCTGTACTCTGCAGTTCTATTGTTGCGGATAGACCCTCGAGTGAATTTATTTTTACTCTTTTATCCTCAGATAAAGAGAATTATTCTTTGACAAAGACCTTCTGATGGTAAAAGAGTCAAAAAAACCACTCGGGGGGTAATTGGGCGGCGTACGGGGAGTCTATCCACAATTAACCCAACTTGAGGTGTAAGTGATTGTGACCCCATAGTACAGGGGGTGTATGTGCCGTTAAGCCTATTTGTTACTCTCTTTCTCATAGCATATTATTACACATGACAGAAGCAGAGAGTGGTTGTTTTCTCATTAAGAGCATTGTGGTTACATTTCCATGCACAGGTGGATGAGATGATGGGGAACACAGAGAGAGCAGCAGCTCGTTACTCCAAAGCTGTGTGTTTGCTTCACTTTCTCCTTGTAGAAGCATCATCTCTAGTTCTCAATCCACCAGTCTCCCTCACAAATTCTGATAGGTATCGCCTTCGCTCCTATATCGACATTATCAGCAACAGACACAGCCAGTCAAGATCAACCCTTCTCAAAGTGTGAAGATCACCGGAACTCTCTGAAGCCAATCAGTGGTTCTTTGTAAATATTCATTTATTTGCATTTGTAAAGTGTTGATTTGTTGATGACCTAGTGTTGCGTGGTCGTTGCTAGTGTTTCTATGCAACATAGATTCACAATGTAAACATGTAGTTGTCTGGTCTCGGGCTGCTGTTCATTTTATGTAACCGTTGTCCTCTAGGTAAGAAAGTGGATGCGTCTGTGTTCCCTAACTATGAATTCTTTATTTAAATATTTGACTTTTGTAGATGGAAGTTCATGTTTCTACCGAATAAGTAACTCTCTGCCTAATGTTCGCGGTCTTGCGTATTCCACGGTTGTACGTTAACGTAAGTTGAACAAAGTACTTGAACAGCCCAAACTGCGTCAATTGTCTTACGAGGTTCAACAAGTTTGCGAGAGTCCAACGAGATACAAGTGCCATATAAGTAAATTCGAGATGAGATAAATTGTCCGACAATCTTTGGTTCAGTATCAAAATAAGAGCAAAAAATTTGTTGTCTAGAGGATTTCAATTGTGCTGACAATTGCAATCAGGTGCTACATGGGACATTCACAATCAACACTAGCTTTTCCCCACTCTTTCACATCTTCAATGCTGAGACAAAATCAATTAATCAACCAAGATACAGGTAGGAATCAGGTGCTGAGTACTCCTCAGCCGACATGGGAAATTCACAATCTATAACACTAGCTTTTCCCCTCTTTTACAACCAAGAAAGTCTTCTCTTTTTTTTTTCTGCTCGTGAATTTTCTACCACATGATATATTATATACACAATGCTACAGAGATAAAAAAAAATTAAAGAATTCCCACACGATTTGTCAAATCAGCTGAAAACGACAAGCTTTAATTTTGCTGCAAGCAAGCCGCAGAGCGTCATCTAAAATGCGAACAAAACCTCGACCAAGAATCTAGAGTAACTGACGGAGCTGCTGGTTTTCCCTTCTCAGATTTTGAACTTCCTTCATCAGCTCGTCTTGCTTTTCTAGGACTGAATTCAGCAGGCTTGTCATTTCCGTCTGTTGTATAGAAATGAACAAACTTAGTACCATTAGTAGCAAAATGATCAAATAGCCAAGAAGAAATACCATTATTGTTGACAAACTAGTTGTATAAGAAGATGACTTAAACAGATGTCGTGCTACAGAGGCCATTAAATGCAACAATTAGGAAAAACGGTAAGATTATAATTAATGGCAAAAGAATAACCAGAGGCAAACGTAAAACAACTTGATTGGAAGCAATTAAGAAGGATATGATATTGACTGAGTGCAGGAACAATCCTCAGCGGAATTGAATTATGATTCATGTAGCCCACCCAAAATTGGGATAAAGGCTTGGTTGATGTTGTTGTTGTCGTTGTTGCTCTTGTTCTTGTTTTTGTTGTCTGTAGATGACTCAAATAGATGAAAGCGAAATGTTAATCCTAGAATGATAAGGTAACATACAACTAGTTTAGTTCTAAACTGATTGTAAAACATCATAAACTAACAGTTATATTACACATGTCAGAAATTCGTTAATATTGGAGAAGAAGCTACAAATAAAACTTGAGCAGCGGGTACTTTAGCATGGCTTTAAACTGTAGTGTTGGTGCTTCTCATCAGGATTTTGAAAGTTCAAGATAAAGAGAAAACCCAGCTTGTAACCACTATAGTTTATGTTTATACTGCTCAGACCACTATATAAGTTTAGTTATGTATGCTGCATTTCAGAAATTTGTTTATATCGTGTGATGCTATCTGATGGAACTTAAAAGATGACTACAGCTCGTCTTTAAACTGAAATGCTGGTGTCTCTCTTAAGGCAACAGACAGAGTTCAAAATAAAGAGGAATACAATGATAATTTAATTCTAGACTCTCCAATGAAGTTACGTGTGATAGCGTGGAAGAAATATACTAAAAAGTGCATTGATAAGAGTGTTTATGGACATTTTCGACTCTCACGGAGGTAACACTAATCGCTCTGTGCAAGTATTTCTTAATTATTTCAGCACTGGCTCCATTGTTGTATATAGTATGTGCAGGCTAGATTTTATTAGATGCTCATGAAAGATAGCAACTTTTACCCTGTTAGAGTACAATTCCAATATATATCATGATACTATGCATGCATTTAACTTCAAGTACATTTTGAGCAGATATGATACATACCTCCTGCAGATGGAATTGCCTTAGCAGCTCGATGTGAAGGTTCCTCACATCCTCATGAATAGACTTTTGTACAGAACCCAAAGTTTCTTCAAGAGTTCGTTGTACTAGCTGAAGTGAAAATGAAGAAAAACCCTGTTGTTGATCTACAGGCTGACCAAGGGTCTGTGGCAATTGAGACGCCTGTCCCTATTAAGAAATAAACATGAACACTTAAATTTCTCATTCTAAACTTTGATTTTCATGAAGTAGATGTAGATGTCTGACTATTACATTGATTGCTGGAAGGCTCCCAAATCCCATGGAAGTTGATGAATCTTGCCTTAATTGTAGGTTGTTTAAAAGTGCTTCCCTAGTTTCCAGACCAGATTTCTTTGATTTTGGTGAACCCATTGCCGAACCTATTCCGTCGCCAAACGTCGAGGTTGTACTTATTCTTTCAGCATAAGTTGAATATCTCCGGGGAAGTGTTGATTGTATTAATCCTGGCAACTCTGTATTGGCTGATGATGCCATTACTTTGCTCCCTAATGACGTGGAAAAAGAACTTGAACTGTAAACAGATGAAGACTCTGAAAAAGTAGAGCTCTCACTTGCAAAGGTAACTCTGCTCTGCAAGTTTGTAGATTTTGATCTAGTACTTGTCAAAGAGTTTATAGTCGAGCGACTAATGGCTGAAGATGTATCATGTAGGCCAGCAAATGTAGAGTCGAAGGGTAATGATACAGAACCACGTGAAAACATAGAGGTTGGCTGTTGGCGATGGGTTAATTTGTCAGGCAATGCATTTCCACCCCAAGCTTCAGGAGGAGTTGGAGACAATGATGAGTCGCTCTTCAAAGGTGCAACAGGTGTTGCACTTGTTTCTGATGCAAGATCATCATCCTGCATGAAAAGATGGAACAGACCAATCAGTGCAGTTTGTACCAGGTGCAGTAGAGTTGACAACAGCAAAATGCAGCAAAAAATACTATTCCAAAAAACAAAGTGATAAAAAGGAAAAAATTGAGAGGTCTTAGATCCCAGTGTTTCAGTTTTGTCCTCTCAGTGACAAAAGAAGCTGAAGAAAGAAGGCAACTAGCCTGTGTTTGAGTTTTTGTGTCATTCTCATTTATCACATACGTATAGTCTGCTAAAGTAACTAGGATGTTAGAGATCGCATCGATCATCTATCATCTCCAATGAGATTTTCAACTAATGCCCCAAACTTGACTAGTCATTAGCCATTCAAGTGCAAATAAATATTTATATGTATCCAACAGGCATGACTTACGCTTTGCAACAGCATGCGGAGAACTCACTGAGAGGAAGGTGATAAAAATCTAATAACTTTGATTTCTGGCAGCAATACAGAACAGCAAACATACACACAGATTACAAAGAGGAAAAGCGGGCTGAGCAGTTATTTATTATACCTGTTTGGAAGTTGTATCAGACAACCAATCAGAGGTCGGATGAGAGTCACTGTTGCCTTCAGTAAATGGGAATCTCCTTGAGGAGGCAGCAAGGATTGAAGACTTCTTATCAAGGAGAGCATTATCCTTTTTTGCATCATTTTCATCCCACCAGTTGCTTAGAGACGGAGTAATTGGCTGAACGTCTACAAGTGGAGAAAATACATCCATATCGTCCTTCGTGTCATAGCCAGAATGAGGTGCATGTAGCCTTGACAAAGATCCACCTTTCCATAAGCGACTCTTTGCTGGAGTTTCCTCTGGTAACATTGGTGAATACGAGGCACTTGATACAGATCCACTGGTGGATCTGTTGATTGAAGAATGAGAGCTCGACAATGCAGCTGCTGAAGTAAAGTTTGACACTGCTATGGAAGGCAGTGGGTCTGGCATAAGAACAGAATCTTCATTTATACCACCAAGAAGAGCAGCTTCAGCAGTGCAATTATTCTCACTGACAATGACAGGCTTCGACCTCTGCCAGCACAAACTCGTAACAGCCTGATAAAATGCAGAAAAATTAATGTCAATTGACAAAGCATAAAAGAACACGATACTATCAACATGACAGACAAGACAAGAAAGAACTTGTATCACCGGGTCAAGTGTATAAAGGACATAGGCAGAAGTATACTAGTATAGGACAATACATGTAATTTCAGTGATAATAATCTTCATACTGAAGTATTTTCAACAGATACTATACCTCAGAACTAACATATGCACGAAGAACAGTAAAAGGTTGAGGTTTTCCCCGAACATCATAAAATACTACACGTCCGCTGTTTGTTCCAGCCGCTAGTATGTTGCTGTCGTCGCTATATGCTAGTGAAGAGAAGGGTGCCTCATAAGGAATACATGATGTAGGCTTTCTTGACCCGGAATCAAATGTATATAACTTTTTATCCAGACCAACACTGGCAATGATCTATCAAGGAAACATTTGTTAGGACTTAGGGGACATTAGTTAACATGCATCAAGAAAATTAAAAATCAACAATAACCTGTTGTAGAAAACAAGAATTCCACATACCTGGTTACCACATATTTAAAAATATGCACGCTTTTCTTATCTAACCAAATAGATGAATTAAGTTGAGAAAACATACCTTGTCACTTGATGGTGAGAAGCAAACACCAGATATAGGTGCAGAATGTTGTTTCAGCCATGATACCTGCAAAATAAATTCAGTATGATGATCATCCTTTCCCCCAAGGTCCTAATTCTTTCTCATTTCCTTCATCATCTAATCATGTGAACAAGCACAGTGCCTTAGATATGGAGACCAGGGAATACCAATGATCAACCACATGTTATTTTATTTCAAGAGTGTCAGCACTTTATTACAAATTAGGATGCCAGCAGTGTAGAGCTAGGAGCAATTAGAAAAATCAAAGCCATTTATGTTTTCGCTTTATTTATACTTTCATGATTATTCCCCGGTCAGAGCAAAGAAGCATAGGAGTTTCGCATTACAAATTTTGACATTGGAGTTAACCGTGTATGACTTACCTTTGGAACTCGACCAGTTGTATCCCATAGATGTACAGATCCACCATCACCTGCTGTAACCAAAATGTGCCTACTAAGTCGAGAATAATCGAGCACCCTTAATACCTGACCTTAAAGCATTGGCATGATTATAAACATCAATATAAGATACAGACCTAGATATCAATGGCAACAAAAACACTTTTCACCTACACTACACAGGCAAATAGTAGGAGGAAAAAAACAACCAAACAACCTGGCCAAGTGGATCCTTGAGTTCAGCAGCCCTTGCTCCAGAAGCAAGGTTGTGGAGAATAAGATCCCCCTTCATACTGATTGATGCCAAATGTTCATCTTTGCAGTTGTACATAACACCAGTTATTGCGTCAGTATGACCAGTCAACCATTTGATGCAACGCTTCCTTTGCAAATCCCATATTCTAACAATCCGACCACTTCCCCCAGAACAAAGGTACCTAGAACTTTTGTTGCTAAAACTGATAGTTACTACAGACTCCTGCAGCATAAGATTTAAATTGATGATGCTTGTGGGTAGAAGCCAAAAGTTGATAATACATTTCATGTGCTTTGCAGTCAAATGTAGGAAAAGATCCTAGCTTAAATCAAAATAAAAACCCATTTTGGTCGGATAACAAAAGGATACATGTTGCATTGAAAGGTAACAAATAGAATTTGAGGTGAAGAAAGACATGATCACCTATGAGAATTGTCTTATGCTGAGATAAGAAATTACAGTATCAACTACCAAGTTATCATTAGATTCGAATTTATGTCCTCGACTTTAACAGAAGCCGGCCAAATTTTGGCTCAAGTATCAACTACCGAGCAGATTTTTTTTTTAAAGGACAAGAAACACAGGAACTAGGGGTATTTGCTACTAAACACTTCTTAACAAGGAATTCCTGGTTAACATACCTGTAGTATGGTGAGGCGTGTTCTGGTCAAGTTTGAGATTTTTTCCCCCATCATTTTGAGTATTAAAAAAAATGAACAGACCAGAGAGCGATATGCATCAATCTAACTGAGTTTAAACAGATTTGATTCAACCACCTATATTTTCTTACATTCTAAGCCCTGATACAGTTATTACACAATTTTTTATGAACTCCATAATGTATATTCTGACATATCATATAGTGAGCATGTATGGTTACTACCGACTCAATCGAGTCATATTAGTATTGTTTTTTTCCTCATGGAATCTCAATATTGTTAACGTGTCTATATATGTACCATAGACTCACTTAATGAAAGAAGAGCTGCATAACACTAGTACTTCCCCTACTGCACCAGTAAACATATCAATTTCGTCAGCAAATTGCAGTTTTTACCTCCAAATCATCACCATTCTCATTCCCTGAGAAAGGAACAGACCCCATACTTTCACCATTTTTACGCCACAACGAAATCTTCTTATCATCTCCAGCACTTGCAACTACAAGATCTACAACAATCATCATCAAAAATCTCACATTACGCTCAAAACTTCACCTTGATCAAGAGCATCATCGAAGAACTAAACAATCGATATAAAAAGAGAGGGAAATTACTAGTGTGGTTCCATTTGACGCAGTTAACTTGAGATCCAGGGGTCGGCGAGTAGCTGAGGGCGCAGGGATCGCCGGAGTCGACGGAGACGTCGAAGAGCTTGACGGTGTCGCCGCCGCACGTGGCCAGCAGCGACGCCGACCGATCGACGAAGCTCATGGCGCGAAAATCTCCTTATTCTGATCTCCTTCGATCGAATCTATGGTCGAAAACTGAGAATTGAGGGATTAGGGCATCGAAAAAAGAATGAGAAGAGAGTGAGAAGGGGAAAACTTTTTTGAAATTTCAGATTTCGTTCCGCCGGCCGCCACAGAGGGTTTTAGTTTCCAGCGAGGCCCAGCCCATTGGAAAAAACTTTGCAGACGGCCCAGCCCATTCTGCTTGCTATGTGATTTTCTATAGAGGCCCTTCTAATAGGATCTTTCCACAAAGCTCCGTTGGTGCGTTGCGCAAGCTCTATCTCTTTCCCCCCTTCGCTCTCATCTGTTCCTCAATAATAACGCGAGGATCCAAAATTCATTATTCATATTATAATAAATGTTACAATAAATTATCACAATATTATTACTGTAGCATATTTAGGGGGATCCATGATCCACTATTCATGCTGCATGGATTACTATAGTATTATTACTGTAGCACAAGCGGAAGGTGTAACGTTTAAAAACATTACTGTAGCAATAATTACTGTACCTAAGACGGGATGCTATGGCATTTGAAAAATGATACTGTATCACTTATAAAAACTGTATTGAAATACAGAATTACTGTAGCAGAAATAAAAAAAATTAGAGGTTGTGCTTTGCACGGGGTGCAAGCTAGTTATTATGAATAAAATAATCGATGAGTTATGTTTTTCCCTGTTCGCTGTGTCTAAAATTTATAAAGGGACGATTTCTTTCAGTGTTGTTCGTTTTTCAAGGTTTATTATGCTCTTGTTTTGCAGTATTGATTGACTGGGAATTTATCGCACGCATTTGCAAAAATAGGAAAAAAGAGTTTCCTTCACTTCGTGGCTTCATGCATGCATGCCCCGTGATGTAAAGGCAACCATGCAATAAATATGATTATTCAGCTAAGTATATGTTTTAAAGGGGGTGTTTGGTTGCACAATTTGATAGAATTTTTTCTTTCAAAATGTCTTACAATGGCAATTCTGTAATTAAAAAATTTCTGTTGATTTTCGTAAACTGTGTTTGGTTCAAATTACAAAAATATTTTCTGTAAAGTACAAAAAAATATCAAAATTTACAGAAATCAATTTTCTCTCAAAATGAGCGGAAATCACGCAGAAATTTGACACCGCATTGACACTTTTTTATAAATTTAGGGGGTGTTTGGTTCAATTTCTATAAATTATAGAAAATCTTGCTATTTTCTATAAAATTATTGGTCATTTTCTTGTTTTGAACCAAACAAGCAGAGTAAAAAAACAAGGAAAAATGATACTTTTTGACTTCTCAAAACTTTTCCTATATTTTTTTTTAATAAATACAAGGAAATCATATTTTAGGTGGAAAATATTTCCTATAATTTGTAAAAATTGAACCAAACACCCCCTAAGTCTGTTGCCTCTTATTTTATTTCAAAACTCATGGCAGTTTGCAATCTTTTATGAGCTCTTTTCTTTTACATTGAGATACTTGATTTCAAGAATGCCGAAGTTGATGTTTAATATGTGTTGGAGAAAATTGATCGATAACCACAACGGTGTAAAAGGGCTCAAGTGATACTATAGGGATTGGTAAAGTTGGGGTTCGATCAACATTTGCAATAAAAATGTATCATGAAGTTTTCAATTTAAATTCAATAAATAGAGTTGTTCTAGAAGGTGTTTAAGTTTACAAAAAAAAATTCCAATTATTCTGCGCGGAGGTGGGAAATAACTGTTAAAAACTTAGGTATCGTTTGGTAAAAGGTTAAGTGAGGGGTTAAGGAGACTTAACCCCTTCTTAACCCGTCAAACATATAAAATCTATACAAGGTTTAAAGTGAGTTAACCCTTCATAAATTGCCAAACATAAAAAATATAGAAGGGTTAAATTAACTCTTCTAGAGGGATTAAAATGAGTTAACCCCTCAAAATAAGGAGTTTACTAATATTCCTATTTAGAAGGATTAAGAGTTAACATTTCTAATTATAAAGAAAATAGTCAAAATCCTTATTATTCCCAAACACTACAAATGATCATAAGGGTTAAAATAAAACTTTTATAACGGGTTAATAATTTAGTCCTTCAGATTATCGAATAGGTTAACTATGTTAATCCTTCTCATTAATCATTCTTCCTTAAAACTTTGCCAAACGAGGCCTTAAGGTCTTCAATTAACAAAATAACGCTGATTATTATTCTACTTTGAGTTGGAAAATATTTGTCAAAAACTCATGGGAGCATTGCAAAAATTATTCTAGGTATATGGAAGATCTTTCTACATGATATTGACACTTTTATTGTTCAAACCCGAAAATGATCTTTCTGATTCTCAAAGAATGAGGGGCAATTGGATTGATCGAGAAAGATCTCTTGTTCTTATTAGATTATTAAAAATTAATTAATTATTAATTCAAAAAAGAATTGGGGGTGGATAATTTTCATTTAATTTTGTTGTTTTTTCTCAAGTTAAAGGACTGGGGGACAAGGTAGCCAATGTGATTACTACACCCACACAGTAACGATTAATCATTGTAGAGTTTGGACTTTGGATGGAGGAGATGTTGATTTCGGCATATCATCTAATCCGAGCTGGCATGATTCCTTACTACATTTTAATATTTGGTCCTTTTCTAAAAAAAAAAAAAGAATTGTTGCAAAATGCCGTAATAAAATGATTTTTTCGATGATGATGTAAAAGTAAAGTTGTTTTTTAATGGAATGCAATTTCAATCGAGATATATATAGATTTGAACTAGATTATAGGCCTCTTTAAATCGCATATTGATATTTGGTAAGGTTTTTTCTGTATATTTTACTACTTTTTATTACAAGGTTGCCTATTAATTTCCATTTCTAAAACAAGATAATGCTACCAGTTTGAAGTTCATCACGTGTCAAACTGATGATCAATGAAACAATCTTGATCCGTTTTAGAGCGAAGGAGACAGTGTAACCTAATTTACCAAAACACTTGTAGACAGCACAACTATACAAGGGGAGAAAAAAAAGGTGGTGAAAAAAGTTTTTCTCTATGCACATGAAGAATTAGGGGTGGTAAACAATCGAATACTAAGATGTTCGTGTTTGTATTTGTTTAAAATTATCGAATTTGAATGCAGACTCTAATATTCATATATCTAGTTTTTCGAATTCGAACTCGAATACTTGGTATTTGATAAATATTCATGAGTATTTACGAGTATTTATCGAATATCAAAGTATATTTATTATGCTAAAAATTTGATTTTCAAATAATATTAAAATTCATAAATAAAAAATATTTCTTTATAATATATGATGTATATATTTAAATTAAAATTTTAATTAGAAAAAAGATTTAAGATTATTTAAGTCTTAAAATCAGCATATAAAACTTAAGTAGAAATGGTAAGTGAGTTAAAAATATGACATCATATGTGCAATAATATACAAATAATAAGGTGTGATCAAATATTAAACGAATATTAAATAGTCAAACAAATTGAATATCCATTTGGTTAAATTCTATTCGTTAGTAAACTCGAATACTAAACAAAAAAAATTGTTTAGTGGTAAATGAGCTATCGAATCGAATATGACGGAATAGTTATTCAAACGATTATCGAATTATCTGTTAATTATTTGGTTCATTTCCACCCCTACGAAGAATCGTAAGATTTATTAAAAGTTATCCCAAATCACAATAGTTGCTATTCTATCTTTGATATTACATTTTCCCCTCGATTTTGTCATTTATTTCACTATTAAAGAATAAAATTAGAAGGTTCAATATTTCTATTAAAACAATCACTTTGTTAGAAAAGGAATATTAAGTCAATTAAACATAATAATGTTTAGCATTTTGTTGAGATGCAGTATTGTTTTTGTTTTGTATTTATCTTGTTTCAGTCCTAATATGAGTATGTATGACTACAGCATGAGCGTCTTCGCAGCTGTTGCTGAGCTATGAAATTACCTCTTATCTGATATGTATCATTCTAAAGAAGATGATTTGGCTGTTGTATCATTAGATTATTAGTCAGGAGGTTAAGGACGTGACATTAAAGGGTTTTAACAACAATATAACACCATGAGAATGGTAATTTAATCATGTTACCTTTAATTTAAGTATAATTTAGTTAGTTACCCACCTCGGGTGATCTAGATGGTTGGAAGATTCTGATATGCCTATCATGGTCTTGGGTTCGATTTTGTATTAATTAAAAAAATGTAAAAAAAGAAAGTATAGGTTTTCTAATTGTCCAAAAAATTCATGTTAGTAAAATATTCTATTTTTATATAAAATAACATGGACTTAAAAATTACAGGTATAATTTTAATTTGGATGGTAAAATAGGAAATTATAATACTTCATGTTAATGTTTCTAACACTTACAAAGAAACCAAAGTGAAGAAGAAAAGAAAGCTGAGGTTTGCTGAAAAAATAAATTGCAGTAAATTAACTTTAAATTCAATGTTTAGATGTATGTAATTATATTATAAGAAATATATTTTCAAATGCAACTTTAGTGTTTGGTTGGAACAAAGCTACAAAAAATTGTTATATAAGGCAACCTTAGTGTTTAAGTTTTTTTTCTGTTTGGGGTTTATAAGTTTTTTTAATTACATGGAATTATTATTTTTAAATTATCTTTTTTGAACATCATAGGTTTTCCTACCATCAATTTGGCTGTGATATTTATTGCAAGTTTTTTCTACAAAATTGAAGTCCATTTACATTTTCTAATTACAAAGTTATAAACTGAACAATGTAGTTATAAATTCGGTTTTACATTTGCAACACTATTTCCATCCAACCAAATAGCCCCTTAGAGCATGTTTCACTATGGAATAATTTTTTGAAAGAGACAGATTTTTAAAAATATTTAGCAAAAGCAACCATTTTGCTAAATATTTATCAAAATCGAGATCTTTTTGTCTACATGACCAAGTCTGACAAAAAAGATCAATTTTGTAAAATATGGGATTCAAAACACATGGGGCTATGTGTGTTTAGGGTTCGCTAATCAGGGTCTAAACACCACACAAAAAACCCACGAGACTAGTAGTACCGTGAATTTTCTGTGGAGTAGCAAAAAACCCATGAGACTACTAGCCCTGTAGGTTACAGAGACTTTGCCCAATGTCGGCCCAACAAATACATGTGATATTGTATATACACATTATATAAGTTGGAATGGAAGTGTGCATGTTTGGGCATCTCTATAAAACCATAGGACTAGTAGACCCGTTGATTTTGCTATTGCATAGTAACTCACAGGACTAGTAATCCCCCGTGGTTTTTTTACTATTGCACAAAAAACTCACGGGACTACTAGTCCCTTGGGTTTTCTCTATGGTGCTTAGGCCCCTATTAGCAAGCCCTATACACATGAGACTAGTAGTCGCGTGTGTTTTGAATTCCATATTTTGCAAAACCGGCCTCTTTTGACCTGCCTTGATGAGTTAGCAAAAAAAGAGATCGATTTTGCTAAATATTTAACAAAACAGTTGTTTTTGTTAATTATTTTCTTTTGCTAAATATTTTCTAAAATGGGTCTATTTAAAAAAAAAAAAAAAAAATCTCCTTCACAGCTGGTCAAAGCGGCTGAAGTCACATAGTCTGGTCGAGTAAAAGACCATTCTACCCATTATCATATAAGAAAATTACAAAGCCTTCTTTTTATATCTCCAATTTCTTTTTAGTCATTTTGACAACAAAGAGGATTATAAGCCACTCATTTACCAAACACTTCATTATTAAAGAATAAATTATAATCTACTAAATTTATCAAATAATTTAAATTATAATCCACTTAAATTATAAGTTATTTATAAATTATAAGCTAAGCGGATTATAATCTAAAGTTGGCTATCATGCGCTTCATCTCGTGTTCCCTGGGGGGGCGGGTGGCGTTGGAGTGTTGGGGTTACATACGTCGTGGGCCGGCCCAAACCAAATATAAGCAAACTTGGACTTCCTTCTGAGTTCTGACCAACCCGATATCCCTTTTCAACGAACCTGCGGAATACCAGACCGCTAACATTTCGGATACGACAGGAAACAAAATACGCGATCGCCGCCGTATCGACGCCGAAAAATAAAAAATTCGCCGGCGAATCGTCAGAAAAAGTTTCATTCGTCGGCCATGGAAGCGCATCACGCGTCTCTAGGTCGACGAACGGTATAGATCTCTTTCTCCTCTTTTAATTTCATACACTTCTTTTTAAATTTTTTCAAAAAAATTATATAAACTTTGTTAGTTTTGTGTTAGTTGGAAGAGATTCGCCAGAAGAGAGCGGCCGAGAGATTGCAGAAGGCGTCGTCGGGTTCGGAATCGGAATTTTTGAATAATTTTGGTAGGATTCTTTTTCCTTCAGATTTGCTATTGATTTTGAGATTATTTTATCTGGATTTTCTAATTTTTTTTCCTAATTTGATGCAGGAGGGAATAGATCTGACAGTGGGAGTCGAATTGGAGAGGTTAGCATGTCTTAAGAATTTCATATCTATTCATTAAAAAATTTTGTTTTTATGATTTCAAGCAGTGAAAACTATCAATGTTGCATAGAATTTTTTTTAATTATTAGTTAAATTTGGATTATGCTCTTTTCTTTGGAACATATCTTTTGAACTATGAACTTTTTAAAATTTCTTCATTTGAAAAACATTAAGCAAAGAAACTATATCAATGTTGGATCAATTTTTTAAAATATTAGTTAAATTAGGATTTGGAGTGAGAGTTGCCAAATCTTTTTGTGCATCTCTCAGTAGCTAAATGGGGATTGGGTAGTTTGAAACTACATCCTTTTAGCATTTAGGAAGGAGTTTAGAGCATGTTTGGCAATTTTAGATTATAACCCACTTGGATTATCATTTGCAAAATGGTTATAAGCCAAGTAGATTATAAACCAAAGTGTTTGGTAAATTTAGTGGATTATAATCCATTTTCAAAAGTAGAGTGTTTGGCAAATGAGTGGCTTGTAAGCAATCATTGTTGTCAAATTGCCCCAAAAGCATTTAACGGGATTGGAGAGAGAGAGAGAGAAATGGAGTGGAACTTTGTGAAATGGTGAGGGGTATATTGGTCTTTTACTTGTCAAACCTTGTGTCTTAGATAGAAGCCACTAGAAAATAAGCTAGGGTACCCTAGCTTTTTTTTTGGTGGCTTATAAGCAAAAATAATACATTTGCCAAACATGTCAAAGTGGCTTATATGCCACTTAAGCCACAAAAGTGGCTTACAAGCCACTTGACTGCTTGACAAACACGCTCTTTGCCCCATTGTCCTATAAAAACCTTTAAAAAAAACACTATATAAGTTGAGAAAAAGCTATGCACATTTTTTACAACAGCTATTTAAGATTTATTCGTTTGTAGAACCTTAAGCAAAGAAAATTATATTTAAGATTTCTTCATTTGTAGAACCTTAAGCAAAGAAAATTATATCAACCGTTGTTTTTTAATATTAAATTGGAATGCGGGTTGTCATATCTCCTTGTTCATTGCTCTAACCATTTCCTTTTTGACATTTACTTCCATTTCTTTCTCTTGTTGTTTTAGCTAGCCATATCTTAAGGGAAGAAAAAGTGAAATGTTTTTCTATTGTGGTCGGAATAGGCGTAGATGGGTTCAATTAGGAACAACTATACATGAAAAAACAGTAAATACTGGCCAGGGGAAGTTAGCTTAGTATTACGCATGCTTTTGTATTTTGTTCTGACATGCTTATAAGATTGAAAACGGGCACACAGCGTTGCTCCTTTTTGTAGTGACCAATGGCATGCACAATACATAAAGACACGTTTGAACCCTCAAATATATCTCGTACACCGATATAAACATGTACAACATTGAGCTGCATACATTATAAATATGTTGATATGAGCTGAGTTGCTGATCTTCAGGCTAATGAGTTCAGATCAATCATTTTTACAGGTTCTTTTAAAAAAAGGGTAGATAGATGGTGTGAAGTATGTTGTAGAGATTGGGCATGAGTACACAATAGCAAGTAGGAAATATGTTTAAACTTTTGACAGAAAGTAATACAACTTGCTGGTTTTTTGGTTCAAATAAATATTGACTCATGGTAATGAATGATTGCAAGATCACCATGTACATTTTCCTTTTTGAATTGCATTACATAAATTAGCGAAAATATCGGTGTGTTTGATTTTTTTAATTTTTTGAAGACCGTTTTGGCCTATATAGCTGTGTTTATTTTTCATGTGTTCTTGCAAGTTTTGTGAAGTAATTTCTTACTGTATTTGTTTTCCTAACATAATGTCGTGTGCTGGAAATATCCTATCATTAAATTTTGAATGTTTTGTCTTTCCAATTCTGATGTTCTCCTTCTCAATTTTAGAGAGATACATATGTGTTGCAATCTCGAATTAAAGAGCTTGAAAGTAGAAATGCAGAACTGGAAAAGGAGAACCATTTTCTATTGTCTCAGGTGACATACTTCACCTTGATCGTTTATATTTTAAATAGAGAAATCTAAACTTTCATTCTTACAAGTTACAAGCTGTTACCTTTTTGCCAGCTTAAAGAAAAGGAAGTTGAGAATGATTCATTGTTGAAGCGTCTAAATGATTTGGTAAGTTTAATTTATTCCAGCTAGCAATAACCAAATAACTGCTTCGAGAAGCTCCTAATGATTTTTCTTTACTTCTCATCGCAACTCATGCAGGAACATAATAGTTTGCCTTCCTTGAGGAAAGCTTTGAATGATGTCTCACTTGAAAAAGATGCCGCAACTGTTGCAAAGGTGTTCATTTTGAGATAGTTGATTCCCTCTGTCATTGTATATATTTTATTCACTGTCACTTATATTTTGTTGTAGGAGGATGCTTTATCTCAACTTCGGACAATTAAAAAACGGTTAAAGGAGGCAGAAGAAGAACAATACAGAGTATGTAATTTGATATATTAATGTAGTGGCTTGTTACATGACCTTCAAATTCTGATGGTTTTTATCTTTTAAAGGCTGAGGAGGATGCTGCAGCCTTGAGAGCAGAGTTAAATTCTCTGCAACAACAGAACTTGGGAAATCCATATGGCAACATCTCCACAAGTAACTTGGAGGAACAGGTTCTTGCTATGGAGAAGGAAATAATGAATTTGAAGTCAGAGTTACAGGTGACACTTGTTTCTGGCTGTATTCAGTTTGGTTGATTTAAGCAGCTCTAGTCATCTGACTGTTTGATCTACTGTAGCAAGAGTCTACATTGAGACAACACGGGCAGCATAAACTAATCGAGGAGCAGGTCCGGGCCTCATCTCTTGCAGCTGAAAAACAAGATCTTGAAGATAAACTATTAGCTTTGTCCAAAAAGGTCTCAGGTGTGACAAGTTCATTGAATAACTTTTCTCATTATAACACCATCTTCAGTGTTTCAACTGGACTCAGAATCTGCAGTCTGTTTTTAGAAAATCCCTGTAAATATTGCTTTGAGTAACCTCATACACTAGTGCATATGTTTCCTGATGGCACCCACGATTATTTACTTTCATAATTCATAATTGTCAACTAGAGCACGAAACCCCTATAGTTTATAATATGCTCAGCAATAGTACATTTCTCTTAAAGTGCATTGAGATGGTGTTTTAAATTTTAGAATTAACATCCGCTCGTTCTTTTTGCGCTCAAATAAAAAAATTCCAGCTCTAATGGTCAAGCGTAGCTGTTATTTTTTGGGCATTGAAAGCTGTGGCTTTGGGCCTAAATCTAAAATTACCTTGCCAAAGCCAAGCACCGGTCAGACTGGTTCGTGCTAATTCCTTAGACTAGTTCTCATGTTAGGTAATCCTGAATTCATCATATGAGTGTGGAATTATAAAATGGGAATATAGAAAAAAAAAAGATTGATACAGAAAGTTCAAAACTGGATAAGTAGGACTGAAATGTTATGCTCTTTTCTGTGCATAAGCGTATTTCATGATTATCTACTTAGCCTTCAGCATATCTCTGAGGTGTGACTGTGAATTCCAGCTTTTGTCCCTTTGCTGTAAGCCGTGGATGTGCTTTTTCTTCCAGTTGGGGTCCAGTTTATGACGTCAGAGTCATCATTTTTAAAGATTTTTGTTCTGATGCTTTAATATGTATCTTCCTGATTATTGGCTTCCATGGTGCTTTTGTTTTTCATGCAGATGAGGAATCAGAAGCAGCTTCTCACAAGGCATTTTCATTGGTAATCCACAAGATTTCACTTGGATGATATTTTTTAATGATACTTAATGAAATCCAATGGTTTTTTTTGTTTTTTTGTTGATGCTACATATATGTATATATATGCTCTGGGAGGCTCATGCATAAATTGCAATACATCTAGTATTAAAGTTTTGGATGATGGTATTTAGTTTTCTTTTGCTACTATGTATTTGCCATATTACTTGGAATACTTCCTCTTAATGCAATAATTTTTAATTGCTACATTCTTAAGTAGTATTTATTTTAATCGCCATTGCAGACTGTATCTTCTGTTGGACCATTTTCTCTGTGCATTGGAAAATTTTCCGTACTTTCCTCTTATTCAGAAGGATAGATATTTTTTTTTGAACAGCTCAGAGATATACAAATCATCTTATCTCTACCGCGTAGAAACTGATCTGAGGCGTTTTCTCATTGACCCAATGCGTTTAATGCTAACTCATTCTATTTTATAGGACTGATATTCCTGTGGACTAATGATTAGCAGAATAAAACAAAACTAGAATTCTCTCAGATGTATTTTGGTATTCTTAAAATTATCATGGTATCATATGCTGTTTCCATTAAGGTCTTCCTCGTAAAAGGGTTGCTGACAGTTCCCTTCAAATTGTATGATATCCAACTAGAAAATCCTAGTTTTTTCCCCTTTCATCTCATAATATATTCTCTTCATTGCGTCATGATTGCTATATCAACTTTGGCAGGAAAGTAAGGCAAAACTTGAAGAACAGTTGCATGATATGGCACTGATGGTTGAAAGACTTGAGAGTGGTAGACAAAAGCTCTTAATGGAGGTACCAGTATTGTTTTTTACGATTTTTGCACTACTGATTGCATGCTAAAGTAGTCTGTGTTTTTTTCCAGATTGATTCACAGTCTTCAGAGATAGAAAGGTTATTTGAAGAGAACTCCAGTTTGTTGTCTTCTTATCAAGATGCTATGGGGGTTGCAGTGCAGTGGGAGAACCAGGTATGATATAAATTCTGCAAATAATGACAACTGTATCATCCAAACCTTACTGTTGTACCTCTTTCTTTTTTTGACAAGAAATAATGCAGCCTATTATCGAAAATTTTAAATATCACACGCCTCTACTACGTGTCAGTGGTAGCTTTGACTAAAGTCCCATGTCTAGAGACGACTTACAAAGCAACTATGAGATCACACCCTATAAGCCTTAGTTGAAAGCAATAATGTTGTTCGGAAATACATTTTATTTACCTCTTAACTCTTTCTCGTGAATTTTATCTTGGTGAAATGCTATCTTTAACTTCATTTGGGTGTTTAAGGTTATTCAATTAATCATGGATGTCTGCCTGAAAAGGCAAGGATCATGCGAAATATTCCCAAATTCATTAAGTAATGGATTCAATGCCTATCTCACTGGCATTTAAATACTGGATCCTAAAATATTAGGTCTTAAAAAAAGAAAAGATTATAAAATGCAACCCTCTTCGGATTAGATCAAATATTGACTAATGCCTTTGCTGTACAACTTAAACGCTCTTGTTCATCACCTGGTACACCAGTAGTCTTCCTGTCTCAAGCATGATAGGCTTCATATTTACTGTTCATGTTTAGTTGTTTACAAGGAGTGACTTCCTTCTACCAAATATAATCTGATGCTTAATTGAGATGAAAAATTAAACTCTTTCAGCAAAATATGTTGGTTTGCTTAACCCTTTGATTGAAGTTGAGGCAGCTTACTCATTTAAGGGTCTGTTTATTGTGGCCTAGCACGTTATGAGGACTCCGGAATTAAAATAAAAATAAGGGGGCATTTTTTTAAAGATTACTATTCTGCATATTCTTTCTTGGCATCACTGCTGCTATCTTTCCATGTATAGATGTATGAAGTGCTCGGCAACTGCAGGTGAAGGACTGCTTGAAACAGAATGAAGAGCTCCGCAGCTTGCTAGATAAATTGAGATCTCAACATGTTAATTCACTGCGATCAAGTGCTAGCAATGCACAACTACATGTGGAAGCTGACCAGAATGTTGGAAATGTCTCTGGCCCTGCAGAAGTTGTAGCTGAAAACCTCTTGCTTAAGGTTTGTTCTTAATGATATAAGATGGAAACAAGCCTAGTACTTAGCAGCATTCTGAATTTCTGAGTTCATATGAGATGCACCAACTTTCCTCTCCCATTCCTATAATTGTTAAGGCACTATATTTAGCCTGGTGCCAGTTTCTATTTTTCTTGCAATTTTCTCGTTAAAAATAAGACTATATGGCTGCTTTAAACAGTTTGTCGATTTTTTGATAACTGAATGTGCTTATGTCATAATGAAGCAATATGGGGTGCATGAGCATTTTACGATTAGGAAGTAATTTGGAATGATCATTCCAGATAAGCTGACATATAACGATTAATTGTAAGAAGAAAAAGAAACAAATTGTGTACAACAATTAGCTGTAGTCAGCTACGGTAAAAAATACTTGTCTAAAAGTAACATAATTAGGAAAACATAGGAAGCAAAAGATATTTCAGAAAATTCTGTTCTTCTATTTGATGTTTATGAAAATGTTATATCAAATATATCGATTAAATTTCTAGACATGAAATGAAGCTGCTTAGATTATTGGTACAGGTTGATATTCAGCCTGTCACCTGTACATGCTTGCATTTTGTATTGACAATGACATGTTTTAATTGGATTATGTGGGTTGAGCTTTTAGGTTCAGATAGTGTTGCACAATATGATTTTGTGCCATTCTCATAAAATAGCATGTGTTGTCTAAATTATTTTAATGGAGATGGAAGGCTATTTGTTTAAGATTTCAATTTTATTGTTTAATCTACTATAGGATCAACTTGCTAAAGAGCAGACACGAGCGGAGGCATTGGCAGCAGAGATCATGAAGCTTTCAGCTGAGCTCAAACATGCTACTCGCTCATACAACAACCTCACACGCCTGTAAGTTTTCATTCTCAAATATCCTCCCTTCTCTTTCTTCTTTCTGGTTGTTTCTGTTAAAGAGAAAAAAGTTGATGTCTTTCTTTGTTTGGTGCAGCTACAGGCCCATACTTCGGAATATCGAGAACAACCTTATGAAAATGAAACAAGAAAGCTACATCACAGTTCAGTGATTATGTTTTTCGAGCAGCATAGGTTTATGTGCATCTGGAGAAGAGAACAGAGAGATTGTGTGTACAACATCAGCTATACTGTGACGAACTGCAACAACAGCTATACTTCGGCTCAAACTGCAGTTATGAGCATGATATCCAATGTAAACAACATCAAAATGCAACCCCAAAAAAAGAAAAGAAAAAAAAAAGATTTCATTTCAGCCTCTTTATCTCGAATGTGCTACTTGAGATGTTACTTTCTGTGAATGTGCTTATTAACTTGTTGCGGCTTTCTCTTCAAGATGTTATGTCATGCAATATTTGATATAGTATTCGGCGATAGTGAATTTGGATATGTGTATTCAAATGAGTAGTGATAAATATTCTACTATTCTTACACTATTTCCACACCGCAAAAGAGAAAATGATGGGCACATTT